TTAGGGCCATCCCCACAAATTCCAGGCTGCCTGGCCCTCCTCCTGTCCTCATCACAATGTGAGGCTCAAGAAGACTATGGGTCACACCACCACCAAGCCCTCCCCTCAGAGAAGGGGCCGGTGGGGGGCAGGTTGCAATAACCAAAATGAGGTTTCTGTTCTGATGACTCTTGACTTCACAATATGGCTCCCCCTCTCTTCCCTCATCATCTTGCGCCGTGTTAAGGCTTCTATATGGAGCTGTGAAGGGATCGAGGGCAGAGAAGGGGCCCTCTCTGTGTTTCTGTGGTGGTCATAGGGTGTTGATCTGCCCAACACACCCTTTCTGTCAGGACCTTTGACCCCACCCCAACCATCCGGCTCCCAGGTCCAGGCGTGACGAGTCAGTCAGCCCTGTGACTGCACAGTTCTCGGTCGGTCGACCTGGCCTCAGTGATGGCTCCATGGAAGAACACAGGAGGCAAAGCTGGCCAATCAGAGTTCTCCCAGGCTCTTTTCCAGGACTCTCAGGAAAGATGTGGTCCCTTTCTCTGGGATCTCCTGGACAGGGAGAAGGTGAGTGTGGGGCCGCCACTGGACATCTTGCAGCCGAGTAGGAATGCCTTTGTTTAGGGCCCTGGAGCCTGCAGCCTTCTCTGCCCCTTAGATTTCCCAGTTATGGGAACTAAGATCACTCTCCCTTTTTTTTTTTTTTTCCTAAGCTGGTTGAGCATTCCTCAGAGTTGCTGTTACTTAAGCCTGAGAAAGTCCTGACAAATTCACCAAGACAGTCTCTTTCAATCTTCTTCACCCAATGTCGTGCAAGTGTCTCCTTGTGTTAAAACTTCAGGTCCTATGAGGTCATCTCGGAGGTGGGACCAAGAGTGTGAGAGACTCAGAATAGACAAGCAGAAGGTGCCGAGCAGGCACATGCTGAGGCCCAAATCCACGAATGGGACGGGGACCAGCGGGCACCAGGGGAAGGTGAGAGGTGAAGTTGGAGCAAGGTCGGAACCGTTCTGAATTCTCCGTGGTGAATGTGTGGGTGACGGGCGGCCGCAGGTGGCTTGTGAGCAGGGCTGTGACGTACATTATTCTCTAAAAGGTGACCAGGAGACTCATGAGCAGCAGGGGCAAACTGGAGGGGTGACCCAGAGGAGGCTGCTGAGGGTCTGGGATGGAGAACAAGGGGAGGATCCAGGAGGTGTCATGAGGGGAGCGCCTGTGGGGCTTGGCATGTGTTGGTGCTGCCACCTGAGGTGTCATTTATACCATCACATGCAAGTGGGCCAAGAGCAGAGGCAGATGGCACTGGGGGGCAAGGGAAGGCACAGCCGGACAGCTCCTAGTGGCACTGGGAAGGATCTGCAGGCATGTCCACTTCGAACCGTGTGCTCAGAGGCCCAGAGCCGAAAAGTGAGATGGGCCTGCAGAGCCCTCCTGGCCCCATCCCTCATTTTATTGATGTCTAAACTGAGGCCCAGGGACAGGGAGGGACCTGCCCAGGGCCACTTGGCATGTCACCAGCAGAACCAGGCCTGGAGGCCAGGTGTCCAGAGCCACAGTCCAGCGTCTGCCTTGCTCCCTCGAGCCCCCGCACATGATGCTGCCTTATTTTTCACTGGCCGGGAAATCATGCTGAGGTCACCCGGCAGGGCAGCGAGGCTGCGGGGAAGGTGTGCTGAACGGTAAATAACTGGGAATGAGGGCAACGGACAGCTTCAGTTGCCATAAATCTCTTCAGAATTTTCAAGTGAGCTGGGGAATATTGACACAAATTAAATCCAATAAAACATTCATTTAATTAAACTTTAAATGGTCCAAATATTTGCTGTTTGGTTAATATTTGTGTAGCTGACAGGAGCAGAATTATGATGGCGCTGTCGGTACTCACGCATTCTAATTTTGCACAAGTCTTTCCCGCACAAAGTACACGTCTTCCTCCATACAGATGAGCGGCACCCTCAGGAGGGGTGTGGAGCCAGTGCTCCAGGCCTTCCTGCTCAGGATTTTGCTTGTTTGTTTTTAGCCCTGTGCTATAGGCTCCTCCAGACATTTTTCTAAAACTGCTTGAAATATTTGACTTCGGGACCACATGGAAGAGGGGACCCTACATTCCAAATGAGACCCCAGCCAACCAGAATGCCTCACCTCCCCATCACCCACCTGCACTCCCCTTTCCATCTACCTCACCGCCCTCCCCCCCGACCCTGTTCTATTAAGGCAGTGGTTCTCAGGCCTCAGGGTAGGCCACAGAAGGCCCTAGGATGCTTCTTCAAACCCGATTCCCACCCTGCCACCAGAGAGTCAGCATCAGCCTGGCATGGAGGGGCAGGAATCTGTTTCCATCAGTCGCCCCCAGAGAAGTGATGCAAGTGTTGGAGGAACACACCTGGGGAAGGGGAGCTCTGTGGCCCAGGGGAGGTCCCGTCTCCTCCGAGGGCCCCTTCCGGATGCCCAGTTGAGGTTTTCCTTGTAGTCTGACTGGAGCTCAGACGTGCAGAGAAAATATAGGTTCCTTCTGTAACATGTCTGACTTCTTCACAAGCCCCACCCACCAGCCATTGGGACAGTAAATGCAACTAAATGTTCAATCCGCTGTAAAGCTTAGTCTGAGCTGATCAGTTTAACAGTCCACATAAGCCATGCTCTATCTAAGGAAGATGCTTCCTGTCTCTGATTCCCACCTGGCATCCCAGCTGCTCCCCAAGCTGGTTTCTGAGTGTAGAAGGAAGCACACGGCCGTCCCCTGCCACCTCTGGTTCCCACTGTGAGGACACCAGTTGCCCTGTCACAAGTGCTCTCTGCTGAGGTCAGCCAGGGCTGTGCTCTTGGTCTGGGCTCCCTCAGCCTGGTGGAGTCCAGAGTCTGTTGTTCCCCTCCACAGCTCGGCCTTCTGCAGCCCCCATTGGCACTATGCACCCCTCGAGGTCCCGGGGCATTCCTTTGGGGCCCAGTTTGTCAGTCCAACGTGGTCTTCAGGCACAGAGGTACAGAGCCCCTCGCAGCCCAGCCAGCATGTGGCCAGGAACCTCTGGGCCCCTCCACGCCACTTGGGGGCTGAGGGGGCTCTGGCTCTCTGCCATGCCACCTGTAATCTGCCCTGGTGGGAAGGGGCAGGCTGGTTGCGGGAGATCAGCCTCATTCCAGAGCCCCCCTTTTGTTCCCCTCACCTACACCCCACTAGGCACACTTTTGACCCTGTCATCATCTTCCTTCTCATTCCCACAGTCCTCCAGGACGAGGAGGGGCATTCCATACCCTTTCCTACTTCCACAGAGCACAGAGCTTCGTGGCCCCTGTGGCTCGTGTGTTGAGGAAGGCAGCCTCGTCTACACTCCGAGGACTCAGTTCTGAGGCCTAAGGGCCAGCACAGCAGAGGGGGAGCTAGACGCTTGTAGCAAGTTCCCTTCCCTCTCTGTCTCTGCCTCCCCATCTCCAAAGCCTGGGTCTTGCTACAGAGGGCTAATACCCTCTCTCTTCCACCCTCAGCAATAAGCCTCAGGATTCAGAGATGGGAGAGCAGCAAGCAGACATGATTTAGGAGGGAACTTGAAATGCATCGCTTGAATGTTTGCAGAATGCTATGCAGGCTGTGTCTGAATCAATCACTTCGTGTTATCTTTCCTCGCACGGCTCCTTCACCAGGAGTCACGTTTTTCCTGTGTGTGGTTGTCCCCTCTCCACTGGCCTGTGGGCCCCTTTCCTTCTTTATTTCCATTTTCTCCATTTTTCATCCATCCAACCAACAAGTGCTGATTAAGCACCTAGTGTATATCTTGTTCATCTTCTTGGGCCCAGGGCCCAGCCACTGAGTGCCTGTGGAGGGGGAGGGCTTTGCAGCTCAGCATCTGAGCTGCCCGCACCTGCCCTCACCTCAGGTGCTCTGCAGTGCGTCACACCTGCCGCTGTTCTCGCTCTCCCTCCCCCTCCCCCACACACACCACAAAGGATGTGAGCACACGTGTGCTGCCTGGTCACAGCTCAGAAGTGTCCCGCTGAGTCACAGAGCTCAGTTCCTAACTCTGTGCCTTGCTCCGCACCTGTCAGGGCCCCAGGGTCCAACAGAGTAGTGAGAGTGCTAGGGCTCCCAGCATTTTTGCTGGCACGCCAGAACGAGCACAGCCCCTGAGCCAGCTGTCCCCCTCAGCTCATGCCACCTCGGCTGCTGCCCCAGTCCCCCTGAGTAGATTTGGGGGAAGAGCAGGGAGGAGGCAGGCCCGTCAGTGGGCTGGCGACTCTCCCTCCAAGCCTGATCCCATTTTGGCATTTGTACAGCCCAAGTTTGATTAATTTTTCCATGAATCCTGAGAATTTCAAAAAGCCTGTGATTGCAGGGAAATATTTGAGACCATTCCCATTTGCCTGAAGAATGATCGGTCTTAATGTCAGTTATCAAGTGTAAAATGGCAAGGATTAATAATTTGTGCAGCCTGAAGTACACTTCAAAAAAATTAAAGGCTACAGTGCATGGTCGCTGAGCAGAAATCCAGATCCAAGTTCATAGACTCAGACAGAAACAAACCTTCAAAGGTCAGCCAGTTCATTCCCCGGACTTCAGACAGTGCAACCTTTAAATTGCTCCCAGATGGATGAGAAAGCTGTCGGCTCTGCAGCCAGCAGACCCTGACTGCACTTAGCAAGGCCCAGCCTTCGTGGGGCCCACATGGACGATGCAGGGACTCCGCCGCACATCTGGCTCCCTGGTCTCTGTGTGACAGTCCACGTGGGGCTTCTCAGCCCAACTCACAAACCCATAGCCCAGATGGCGCCCCTCCACCAGCCGTGGTTCCTGACCTGTTTTGACCCATAGAGCCCTTAAAGCATCTGACGTAAGTCCTGGCCCCTCTCCCGAGAGAACTGTCCAGCTGTACATTTAGTCAGCACTTGTGAACAATTTTCAGGGAACCTTGAAGCTGCCTGGGCCCCTGCCCTGCAGTAAAACCCCGTGACCGTTTGCCTTTGAGTGGAGTCTCCGCCCCCAGGCCTGCCTTTGATGGTCTCCTCCTTTTTCCTTGCAGAGGTGGTTCAGCTCAGCCTCGCCCCCGAGGAGAGGGTCAGTGTGGCCACGGTGACCGTGGGGCTGAGCACGGTGCTGACCTGTGCCATCCGCGGAGACCTGCGGCCACCCATCATCTGGAAGCGTAATGGGCTCGCCCTCAACTTCCTGGACTTGGAAGACATCAATGTAAGTCACCTGGCTCTGACTCTGAGCTCGAATGTACCCCCCAGGGAAGTAAAGTGTGCAAGACACCTTGTGGCAGTGGCAGGGCCGGAGGGTTCTATTTCAACATCCCATGTTTGGTGCCTTTCAAGCCTGTTGTCTGATAGCTGGAGGTATCAGAAAATGCAAGTCCCACCACGTGCAGAGAAGAGGGTGGATGGTGGCTGTAATCCGGCCAGCCAGGCCCAGAATGAGGGAAGGGCATGGGGGCAGGGCAGGAGGTCTCTGTGCAGGCTGCAGCAGCTACAGCCGGGAGGTGGGCGTGGGAACGGGATGTGAGAGGAGCCGGCTGTGTGAGGGAGGGACCACAGGCCAACAGACCACATGGCCAGGCAGGAAGCTCCCAAGCAGGGAGAACATCTGGCTGGGGGACCCAGGGAAGATTCTGGGCCCTACAGCTGAGTAGGATGTCTATATCCTAGGTGAGGGAGAGTGGGTATTCCCTGGGGAGGGCAGAGGTGAGCTGGGTTGGCTGGGTTGTCTGGGTTGGTTGGTTGGCTGGAGGGCAGGGACCAGGTGAGAAAGGAAAAGGAAAGGAGATCAGGCCAGAGGAGTCTGCTGTGGGGTCCTTGTTTGCTGGGGGAGGGAATGTGGATTTGATGAGTTGGGTGGAAAAGAGCAGCTAAGCTCACACAGCCTAATGTGGCCAAAAAGGGTACTTCTGTACTCTGAGGGCCCAGGCAGTCTGGGCTGGGGTCCCAGTGTCCCCCAACAGCAGGTTTAAGACTCTGAGCAATTTCTTAAACGGCTGATCCTCAATGAATTGATCTATTAGAAAAGCAGCATTAGCGGTACCTCCCTTCTATTGGACTTGAAGAATAAAGGGAATAATTCAAGTATATTTATTGGCCTGAGTTTGGTACAAGGGGTGAAGTGGCTTCTCAGAAGTTCATGTGAGAAGACAGTGATGTCACCCATGTAAGGTGCTGCCGGGACAGCTGACAGGTCTTGAGCTACAGTAACAGGAATATAAGTTTCAGGCAGGAAAGGGGGAGGCCCTGGTCTCCTGGGCTCAGGACAGGCCAGCTGGCCCCAAACAGGACTCTGGGCCCAGAGAAGAAGACCTGTGGGATGAGTGGCCAGTTCCTGCTAACATGTCTAAGGTGGTGAGGGAGGTCCTGGGGCAGCAGGAGCTGGCCTAAGTGTGTGACCCCAGCACAAAGGGTCAGGGGCCACCTCAAAAAGCGACCAATTTGGGCTGCTTAGGTGGAACACCATTTCAGCCATCAGACCTGCCCAACGATGGAGTGAGCCATCACAGGAGGCTCCCCATCCCTAGAGGCATGCAAGCTCAAGCAGGTCCATGGTCAAGAATATGGGGCAGCTAAACCCCAGGACCTTGAAGATCCCTTCCAATGCTGAGACTGCTTTACGGGGAGAAAGCCCAGCTTGGAATTTGGCAGGAACCACCAAAGCTGGGGCTCTGCTACTTTCTAGGCCCTTTGGCTGCACCCCGGAGATCACAGGGGAAGCAGAGGGGTAGAGGGGGCCACTCTGGAGGTTCCACCCTGGGCAGAGCTGGGCAAGATTGTCCTTCCCCCACCCTTCTCACAGCAGGCAGGATTGTTTCCTTGTGATTTCCCCACTGTGGTGAGCAGAGTCTGTATCCTACCCATCTCTGAATGTCAGTGCCAGCACAACCCTGGTACATGCTTGATGGGCTGATACTGGGTGGGCAGAATCCTTTGTCTTCCGAGCCTAAGATGCCCAGGGCTTGTCTGGGATCTCAGCAAGGAAAGGCAGGTGTCCTGTTTGTGAAGACGAGGGTGCATGTGTGTGTGTTGGGGTGCACGGGTTTGTTCGTGCACAAGCTCTCAAAGTGGGATGTCAGCTTTTGACTGTGTTTTGCCAGTGGTGACTGATTCAGAACTAGGACAGGTCTGCCTGTATCTGCCTGAACATCCATGGGTATTACTTGATGCTCTTTTTAAAGCCATCAGAAATAAAGGCAGAGGCAGAAACCTCTTAATGCACTTGCCACCACTTAATTAAATTACTTTGAGTGTCTTTCCCCTCCCTCAAACATGCCTTGAGCACCCACTCAATTGCATTTCTACTTTTCACAGTGAGGTTAGCAATTTGGGTTAATTGTGGGTACAACTGGAGATTAATGGCCTCTCGTTCCCTCCCAGGAAACACTTGCTGCTGGTGGTCAAGTCAGCAGCCCACTAACAGGCAGGGCCCTGTGCTTCTCAGAAACCCCCATGTGAGGGTGCAGGGCTATGCCAGCCCCACGGGGATCCTCGCCTGATGCATGCACACACACACAAAACACAGCACGAACACACACACACACACACACACACACACACGCACCTCCTTCTGCCTCAAGAAGTGAAGGGAGGCAACACAGCCTGCTAGTGAAGGGCACAAGCTCTGGGGTCAAACCTGGGGTTAAGTGTCAGCTCTTCCACTTACTAGGTTGAGTGACCTTGGAAAGGGCACTTGACTTCTATAAGCCTCAGTTTCCTCCTTTCTGGAAGGGGGATAAAATAGTTCCTGCCTCAAAAGGTTATAGGAAGGATTAAATGAGAAGATACATGTGAAGTTCTTAGCATATAGTGTTCCATTTCCAGCTGTTATCACTCTCATTGTCATTATTACAATTACTATTATTATTATCATTGTTATTATTACTACTGCTGCTGCCAAAAACATTCTCAACACCTTGCAGCCTGAGTCCCCAACAAGCAGCCAGCAGCAGCCCAGGAAAGCTTCCTGGTCAGGCAGATACGACCCTGGGGTGCCCCTGCTGCCTGTGGTCAGGGATGGGGCAGCACCATCCAGAGAGAGAGACGCTGGCCAGCCACCTCCAGCAAGCTCAGATCAGCCCTGGGTCAGCTGTGTAACTTCTCTGAGCCTGTGGGGAGGTGGGAGTGATGATGTCCTTCTTGCATGGGCATTTCAGGCTGAATGTGTGTGTGAAGCATCTAACCTCTTGCCCGGCACACAGCAGGTGTTCGTAAGTGGCCACGCCACTCTGGGGACAGTGTGGAGAGCAGCCCTAGGAGGGGATCAGACCCGGGAGGGGTAGAGCCAGGTCATCAGGATTCACGGGACATTTTTGAAGCAAGGATTGGTCAAGGGAGGCGAGCCCAGGAGGGCAACCCTGATGGAGCAAAGATTGGGATTGACGAGTTCCTGGAGTCCCTGAGTCTGTGGTGTCTCCACCCCCACCGCCACCCCCACCGCCACAGTCAGAGATGAAATAGGATCGCTGCTGTAATTAGCAACTGGCACCACCGCAGCACCATGCAGACCGGCACGCTGATCAGCCAACAAAACCCGAGGCGGGGAGATCTGAAAGCACGGAGAGGTGCGGGCCTCCTTCCTTTGTCATTTGTATGAGACATCTTGATTGGCAACAAAATATTAATCACCTTTTCACTGCTCTCTTAATGAGACGCTTTCATGGGCAACAAAATATTAATTTGTCTTGTCTTATCTGTTAAGAATTCTGTTAATGAATTCAGTCACAGAGCTATTACAGAATGCCATCCTAATGACACATGTAATTAAACTTTTCTGGCTTGCAAACATCAGGGATACCTCGAGCATCAGAATAATATTTGATCAGAAAGTGAATGTACCCCTCTAGCCTGGAGCCAAGTGAGGAGGAGCCATTTGGATTCCCCAGCGAGCAATGTCACTGTCAGGAGCATTCATGAGTCACCCAATATGTGCACAGCCGTCCAGATGGCAGACATGCAGAATCATCATCTGGATTCACTTACTACGTGCTGACGACTCGTAAGCCCTGTGCCAGGGCATGGAGCAAAGATACTCCCCAGCCTCAAGGGGGCAAGGTATCCACAAACACAGAATTACAGCGCCAGGTGGCAGGTTCAACATTAGAAGGAGGGAGTCATTTCTGGGGGCCAGAGGAGGAGAGTTTCTGGGTGGAGCTTCAGGCGACAGGGATAAGCAAGACAGAGAGGAGTCTGAGTGACAGGTTGGGGCCAGAACATGACGGGCCTTGAATGTTAGCATAAAGGATCTTGGCTGTTCCCAGTGCACAGTGGGAACCTGAGACTTTTAATCAGAGCATGACATGGTCAGATGTGTGTCCTGCAGGAGTCCTGAGCCCCTTCCAGCCAGAATAAACATGCCTCCAAGGAGGACCCCACATAAGTGGGACCCAGAGACAAGGGGGAGCCCCGCGATGCCCTAAGATCTTGCTTCTCTCTAACTTCCCCAACAGTGCGTTTGGAGAGGAGCAGCAGCCCAGCCTGCCTGGGGCTCCTGCCCAAGTTTCCCTCCACTTCTTAAGGCTGCCAGGAAGTCCCACATGGACCTCGTGTGCCTCCTGAGGACACCAGAGCCACCCGTTTGCAGGAGGCCTCAGCTTCACCCCAATGCAGTGCATGAGGGGCTTTGCCCCAGCCACACCTGTGAAAACAACCCCCTCAAGCAAAGAGCAGCATCAGGGATTGAGTGCAGAGACCCCAAAACGAGGCGCTCCCCAGCAGAGGCAGCAGCCCAGCCTGGGGAATTGACTGCCATGCCTCTCGGCAGGGGGTCTCTGGATCCTGCTGCCTCCTTCTGTTGTTTGATGATAAATCAATAGTTTCCGCTCACTCGCACACATTCCCCAGAGCTAACAAAGGGCAGCCTGTAATTTGTTTACTTCTGGCCAACCGCTGGTTTCTTTACTGAAGCAGCTGTGGGTCAGCCTGCTTTAGACCTGGCCCTGTGGCCCCCACCTCAGGCCTCAGGAACCACAGCCCACTGCCCCTACCTCAGAAGCTAGGAGGGGGCCACCACAGCAGCTCCCTGAGCTCTGCTCGTCCAGGTCTCGGGCAGGGGCTTGAGCTCGAGGCTGCTGTCCAGGAGTGTGCCTGTGCTGGCGCCTGACAGAGGATGAGCCCTCACCCCTCAGGTTCCCCACCTTGGGCCTGTGGTCAGCCACCTGGCCTGTGGTCCAGCTCTGCTCAGACAACACAATGTCACGTGGGGGACGGGGA